CACCAGCCCACACACTATTACCACACCCCACAGGCTACGGTAGCACCATCAACCAATCGTCCCCGCCTTTCGCAGCATACACACGCGAAAGGAGGAGGCCAAAAAACAACGGGTACACAAACACACTGCGAGTCACGGTCGGTCGTACATACGGTACCACGCAAACAAAACACGGACACTCACACACCACCGCCGCGAATCCCTCGCGCGCACCACACAAAGAAAAGAAAAGGAACGAAAACACTACAATCATGCCGCCTTCACAGGCTTGGTCGCAGAGCCTGCTGCTGCTGCTGCTGCTGCTGCTCCGGCGGGGGCGGCGGCGGCGGCGGCGGCGCGTCTAGCGGCCGCGAGATCAACGCCCAGGATGCTACGACTCGTGGACAGCGGGGCCGGCATGAGCGACGCACAGTAGTCTTCAAACTCGATCAAGAAGGCATCGACCTGGTCTCTCACTCCGCTCCACCCGGCCTCCCGCTCCACGGCGCGGTAAGCGCGCCCGACCTCGGGGCCTACCTCGTGGACCGTTTCTCCCGCCTCGCGAAGGACCTGTTCGTGTGCGCCCACGTACCCCTGCACTCTCGCCTCCTCCTCGGCGATGATGAACTGGAGCTGTGGATTAAAGAGCGTGGGGGTGCGGGCAGTATTTGTTGCTGTTGGTTTTGGAGTTGGTGTTGTTGGTCTGTTCATGAGAAACCAACCTGAACAGTGTTGTCGTTGGTTGTTGTTGTTGTTGTTGTTGTTGATGTTGGTGGTGGTGGTGGTGGTGTTCTCGTTATTCCTGTTGTTGAAACTGGTCGCCCACACTACCCTCGCAGCGATGTTGTCGTTGTTGATGGTATTGGTATGTTGGTGGTGGTGTTCGCAGGGATTTCTCGATGTTGGTCTGTCCGCATGGAAACCAACCTCTCCAACGTGCCTCTCCGCATGCTAAAAACCGTCTCAACCAGAAAAGAGCTGACTTTCGCCGCTATGGAAAATAACGCGCGTGGAGGTTTCGCTTGCAAGTCGCCTTTTCCTACTGACTGCTGTGAGCCTGATCTACACTCCGGTCCACACTTTCAATCGATGCAGCGGCGTAGGATGTCACACTTGTCAACCGTACGTGATTGATTGCCCTCCGTTGTGGACAAGATGGATCCATCACGCAGTGACGCGCCAACCACTTTTTTTTCGAGACGTACCAAAAACAAATTATAGCTGTCACGCAAACAAGGCGACCAAAAAATAAAAATCCTGGGCAATCTCTTGGCTGTGGACACAAATGGGTTCATTGCGTTGTCGTAAGCCAAAATAGCATAAAAATATTTTCTTACTGCCAGTGGGTAGAGATGAATCCATTGCGATTCGTAACAAAAAAAAAAAAAATACTTACAGGTTCGCGGGGGCCGGGCGGCAAGCACCGCTTGTAGTCGCGCTTGATCTCGCCCAGACCACCGAGGGTGTCTCCTCCACAGATCACGCACGCCTCTACCCTAGCTGCCGCCTCCACCGCCGCCGCCGCCCCCGCCACCGCCCGGAGCACCCCGGCTATCCCGTCCGGGGGCGGCGCCCCTTCCTCCGGAGCCTCCAGCTCCAGGCGGACCTTGAAACCGCTCTTCTTCGCTCCGCCCTTACCGGCTCCGCCGCCGTTCGCGCTGTCGGAGTCTTCGCCATCATCGTCGCCGGGGGCTTCCCCCTCCCCCTGCGGCAAGCACGCCTCGGCAAGGCCGACGAGCTTGGTGTTGGCCATGCGCAGCCTAACGAGGGTGGGGTCGAGCGCGGCGGCGAACATGAGCGACAGCTCCTCCTGCTCCGTGCCGGGAGGAAGGCTCTCGACGTGCGAGATGAACTTCTTGACGGCGACCTCCCACTCCTGCGGCGACGGGCCGGGCTTCCTCTCCTCGGAAGGGTTGCTGAGGAGGGACTCGCGCACGGCCGCCACGGTCATCTCTCCCGCTCCCGCCGGCCCGCCGGCGTTGTCCCCGCGGCTCTCCGCCCCCCCTTCATCGTCATCATCGTCCGAGTCATCGTCCATGTCTTCCACGCCGTTGCTTGCCTCCCGCCCCCGAAGCCGGCACGAGGCGCCTGCGCCGCCGCCGCCGCCTTCCGCCACCGCCTCGCCCTTGACCCTCTGCCTCTTTCGCCCCCGCCTCCCTCCTGCTCCGCCCGCCGCCGCCGTACCTTGGCCTGCAGCAGCCCCCGATCTCTCCTCCTCCGTGTCTTCCTCTTCGCTGTCGCCCGCTGACATGGGCACAGGCTTAACCTTCCCCGGCGATGCCGCCGCCGCTTTCGGAGAACCAGAAGAAACGCCACCCGAGCCTACTACCGAACCCCCCGCCTTACCGCCGCGACCGGGCTTAAGGGAGGGCGACGACAGCGACGGAGAGGCAGGGTTGTTATCGACTTCCTCCTCCTCCTCTTCTTTCGGTGGTGTTGGTACATGCGGGCGGAGCTCCCCCAGCGCCTGGGCTATCAACCCGTGGGCCCGACGAGCGCATTCTACGGCGCCCCCGCGGCTGGCGCTGCCCTCCTTCGACGCGGCGAGAGACCCGAACGTGTTGGGCTTCCCCTCGAGGGGGAAGGAGCCGCCGCCGCCGTCTTCGACGAAGCGGGCTACCTTTCTAGGCCAGATATCGACCAGCTGTGTTCCAGGGTATTTTAGAGTCGGCGTTGGTGCACGGGGATAGTGGCGGCGTTAGGGGCAGCGTCAAGGGGGCAAGAGCACCACAGGCAAGCATAGAGGGTATATGCTACACTCCGGGCGTGAGGAGGGGAAACGGGAAGCATTGCACTCGACCTTGCCAACAGCGGGGGAGGCGCGTGGGCCTGCGGGAAGACGGAGGTCTTCTTTCGCACCCCCACGCGAAACCAACCGCCCCCGTCAAAGCAACACGAACAAAAACGTGCCAACTCCAATCACCCAAAACATGAAAAAAGCGTGTCCGCTCCGTACCGTTTACCTGCCCCATGCATCCACCGGTCTGTCTCCTCTCTCTCACCTCCGACTCGTCCTCGCCCGCGGGGGGAGAGGGCAAGCCAAACTTTCCGATCCACAGGGACCCCCTGCTGCGGACAAGCCCCTGCAGAGACTCGTTGTCTTCCGTGTTGGAGAGAGCGAACACTTCATCGAGCGCTTGGTGTGGTCGTTGTTGCTTCCGCTTGCCGTTGGCTGCTGCTGCACCGCTGCCACCGCCGCCGTTAGCGGTAGCGTCGGTGTTGTTGTCGCTCTCTTCTTCCTCGTCGTTCTCTGAGGTGTCCGCCGGCCCCATCGCGGGGGAGCGAAAGTCGGCGACAGAGCCCAAAGCGTGCCTCATGGAATCCACCTTGATGGAACGAAGGAAGGAGGAGGAGGGCGCATTAGTGCGGGGATTTTGCTGGGGCACCTGCCATCACCGCTTCATTTTATCAGAAGGATTATTCGATAGAGTCAAGGGGTTGGGGAGACAAGCTATGTATGTGCCTCGCGTAGCAGGGAGGCAGGCAACGCGCTGAGCACCGAAACATTTCGCTGCATAGATTGAACTGATGTTGCAAGCATGATGATGCCTGCAAGAAAGGCTTGGAATATCCGCAGGCGATACGGCATCACTGGCTTGCTGGAAAATTCGCGAACCCAAGAAGAAGGCTTGGAATCCACACAGCAAGCGAAACACACCAGGCGATGACTTATGGCCGAGCACAACGAGGTTCGAAAAAAGGAAAAAAACGAGCTCTGATTTGTACAAGACAAGACAATGCCTTGTCTGCGTAGGTAATGTCGATTCCTCCGCCTCTTTGTAGGATGGTGCGTCCGCCAATGCTACGAATTCCTTGCCAATTTGACCCGAACTTTTTGTCCGTTGATGGAAGTGGGTAGAGATGAATTCGTCGTGCTTTCGTTCCACGGTTAACAAAGGTAGCTACAGTAGGCGGTTCGTATTTGTCCTCGTTGGTTACATGACCTAAATACTAAAATGATGCGCACAGCAGAGAGAGAACCTGGAGGGAAAAGACACGTGCAACGAGCAACGAAGCCGTTGTATTCTCTTGCGGCTCATCTTTACCATGAACGCGTTCGATCATCTTTCATTGAACGTATCTGGTACCAGGTGAAGTAAATGTTGTGGGTTGCAGGTGGGAAACGTCACGCAGCTACTCTACACTCTACAATGTACTTTCAGCAGGAGCGTATCTTTGGTCATTTTACTTACGCATATGTAGGTCTGTTAATGTCGAGCACACAGACGGCACCGAGGCCTTCCAGAAGGGAAACACCTTCAAGAGCCACAACAGACAGACCGGAATACGGATGATGCCTCCTTGACTCGCGTAGGAGCAGCAAGTGAAAACGCGAACACTTGTCATTATCCTACCTGCTGCTTGACGTCTCAACGATCACTGGACCGGAGTGTACGGGGTCCATGGCGTGGGGGGAAAGGTCAAAGTCGGGTTATCATCGAGCGGCTTACCAGAGTCTCGTATTTAGCAGCAAAGACGCGCACCTGTCGCTGCAATAGAAGGAACGTCCGGCCTGCTATCTCCAAACCATCACCCTCCACCTCGTTCTCTCCGCCGACAGCGGCAGCGTACTTGATCCTCAAGCCGTCTATCAGCTTGTACTGCAGGAGATGGGTGGGCGCTTGTTGTTTGGTAGGAGGAGGAGCAGCCCCAAAGAGCTCCAAATCCATCATCCCATTGTCCTTCACGACCTGCTGCTGCTGTCGTGGCTCGTGCTGGTAAACGAAGAAGGAGCCGACATCGCAGAATTCTTCGTCGTATCCGCGGGCACCGAGGCAGTGTGGCGGTGTTGGTGTCGGCGAAGAAGGCATCGCCTTATCACCCGTCGGAGACTCCTCCCGCTGATGGGCGTCGGCGGTGGGAGAAGAAGCCTCCTCCGAAATCGTAGCCGCAACGGCCGGTTCTACTTCAGTTGTTGTGCGAGGCTCGGCGGCGCGCGCCACCGTCTCATCGGCGTCTATCTCCATGCGTACGGTCCTTTGTGTGCGTGCCTCTCTCCCTCGACGGTGTACGGCAACACCGCGGCGGCGATGTGTCGCGGTACTGCGGTGCCATTTACTGTTACTTGCCGCGTGTCCAAAGAGGCACGCAGACACATATTTCCAGGGTACACACTTTTTCGAAACCTCCATTCGCCGGCCCCCTGAGAACCCTCTCGCGCACCCACAGGGGCCAAGCAACAAGGCTGTACGCTTTGGTTCGAAGCTTTGATGCCTCATCCGCTGCCGCCTTATGGCTCGCTGCCACAAGGCGACGCAGAGGGTTGCCACCTGATCTCGGAGAATTACGCGTATGCACTTCAGTTTATTCTGGGATTCGCTGCGTTAGCTGGTCTGGTGGTGAGTATTATAAGTGCGATGTGTTGTTCGTTCGCGCCGCGTTTTTGCTTTTCGGCGGGGTCGGGCCTTTGCTTTGTTTTCCTTGGGCGTCCAAAAGGCGGTGTGTCCGCCAACGGATCGAGGGTAGTAGGTACAGCAGCAAAGTTTCCCCCCCCCCCCCAAGATGTATGCAAGAAAGGCAGGCCCGGAGTCGCACGGCGCAACTCTATGCTTTTCTGCGGAGAGCACAGAGCAGGCCGCCCGCGGCTCTGAAACGGGCCGTTCTGTCTTGTTCTTTGAAGAAGCTGCTCGACCCTGATCACGGCGTGTTGCTGTTGAGAGCTTGGTTCGTGGCTTACGGCACATGTCTGGTGCGCGCCATACCCATGAGTTAACACCATCATCTTGTCGGGGAGGGCCTGGTTCGCGAGCAGAATTTGCCCTTGCGAAAACCGTCGCAGCAGAAGCACTCACCTGCCACCCCCCGACGGGCGTTCAGATCTGCATTTTTACTAGATTTTTCCCACGCAGTACAAAGGTGGTTCCAGACGAGAAGCTAGAAGCAACCAACCAACTTCCCCCACGTTGTTGAACAACGTTCCGAAAGGGCGAGAGCGGTGTGTGTATGTGTGTATCGTATGCATACCTTCGCATATTCCACGTTTACAGCATCACCGCTGTAACTCACGCCACACACAGGCGCGGCTCGCCGGTAGGCAAACATGAGGTTGCGGCCAGGTATTTAGTTGCCATGCACCACATCATGACATCCCGACTCTAATCCGTGGATCTACAGTTGTATATTGTGGGAGATGACAGAGTTTTGACACCACCCAATCAACCGCTGTTAACACGCAGCCAATCGGTAGGTGCGACGGGCGGTGTGCACAAACGGTAGGGACAGGTTTTGATCTACACTTGATTATTTTTTTCAAACAAAACCAAGTTCTTCTTGAGAGTGAGGTCATCTCTGGATGCTATCTGCTATTTACATATCCAAAGCTGCTTGCCTGTAATAGCCTTTTGCCAGGCAGGCGTTGCTGTCGCCCCGTCTCTACTACTGTAAGAGACGGAGAGATGGCACCCCCCGTGGGCCGATTTTCAAACCTCGATTGCTTCACAACCAAGATTGTGCCACCACCAAGAATAGCAGTTTTGGAAGCATCTCGTCGAGGGATTCCCGCAGACATATCGGGCTCTTTCCGCAACCACTTGGTTGTGGAGCAATCGAGCTCTGAAAGTCTGTCTCGGGGGGGTACCATCTCTCCTCCGCCTCATACGGAATACCATGGTACGGTACTTGTATACGGTACGGTACAGACAATCTTGGTTGTGGAGCAATCGAGCTCTGAAAGTCTGTCTCGGGGGGGTACCATCTCTCCCTCCGCCTCATACGGAATACCACGGTACGGCACTTGTATACGGTACGGTACAGACAATCTTGGTTGTGGAGTAATCGAGCTCTGAAAGTCTGTCTCGGGGGGGTACCATCTCTCCCTCCGCCTCATACGGAATACCACGGTACGGTACTTGTATACGGTACGGTACAGACAATCTTGGTTGTGGAGCAATCGAGCTCTGAAAGTCTGTCTAGGGGAGGTGCCATCCGCCTCTTTTGGGTACCCTGTCCTCAAGCTTGTGCTCCACACTTCTGCGGGCAACCTGAAACAATGCACGGGGGGGCTCTGCCGCATGTCCTGATCGTGCCGCATTTTCCCTGCTTGACTAAACTCTCTTAACACGACACGTCCTGCTCTTCAACGACATCATCGTTTTTCACCGGTGCGCGGCGATCCCAACCCGCATGGCGCTTCCAGTTCAAGCGATGGCGGGCTCCGGTGAAGCGCGACTTGGTGGTGTGGATGTACGACGTTTCTAAGCAAGGCTTCGGCGCGATGTTTATCCACGTGTGGAACATTCTCCTGTCGATACACGAGGTGCGTGAGCTACTTGGTCATGTCGTGTGCCTTGCTGTGGCAGCGTATCGTGTGGTGGTGGTGGTAGGTGGCGACGGCGGCGTGTTGGTACCTGCGACGCCGCCATCGGATGCCTATTTGTACGTGGTTGCTGCCAATTTGTTGTGACCATGTTGTTCGAGTCGTCGGCGTTGTTGCGGGCGTCGCTGGAGTCTTCAACCCTCCCCCCTCCATGCGACTCGCCGAATGCCTCGGGGCGCTTCGCGCTTGGTGATGTGCTAGCCTTGTCTGGTGAGAACCCGGCGTGCTCCGTCCCGGCGGCTTTGTAGGGATGCAAGGTCATTTGTCTATAACGACTACGGCATGCACGACCCCCCCACTACTACCCACCACAGGGCGGTGGGATTCCAGGATCGGACGAATGCGCCATGTACTTCGTGAACTTCTCGTTAGATATTGCCATCGGCACGTTCATGATTTGGTGCTTCGTCAGGGTCCAGGAGCTTACTGCAGTGCGATGCGGCATCGATAGCCTCAAGGTAAGCCACACAGCCTGCGCCACTGCCACAACCGTTGCCACTGTTATGCCAATTCGACTGCAGTGACCGCTGCAAGTCGTGGCATAACGCCGTTGAGCACTTTGCAAAGGGTCCTCCTACGAAACCGGACCCGAACGCGTTGGTGGGTCTTGCGATGGCAACTTCATGCGCCTGCGGACGTATGCTACGTTCTTCAACGATGACAAAAATGGTCCTTATCTGCTGTTTGTGTTGTTCCAGGCTCTGATGTTTTGGCACACGTCGCTTGTGCTTTAAGGCGTATCGAACTTGAGTTGAGTTTTCATGAATAGCCTGAGGCACGCAACAGCTGATCTAGCAGCCATCGCTGGTTCCACGTTCACCGACGCGTGTTCGTGGAAAACGAACAGAAAAGCAGCCAAGATGAGCCTTTGCAGCGTACCATGTGAAGCATATGTGGTGTCTCGCTACACATTGTGTGCGACTATAATACGAGCTCAAGGTAAAGAGCACCTGGTGTTTTTCGTAGTTTCTTCTTTTGTTCCTGGGAAGCCGCGTCGCTTTCCACGCAACGTCACCGCTGCGCGTGTGAACAACGCACTCGAGTTCGTCCCCGTGTTGGATTTTCCGGGGGTCAGGTTACGGGGGACTACGGGACGCCGCCGCTGTTCTCGGTGTACCGGACGCAGCTGCTGGCCTACACGGTTATCCTTGTGATCTGCAAGGCGGTGACGACGGCCATCGTGATCGCCATGGACGAGGTGCTTTCCTCCCTGGCGAAGGCCTTGTTCTCCCCCGTCAGCGCCTACCCGGAGCTGGAGCTCACTCTCGTGATGATCATCTGCCCTTGGTGAGCGCTTACTACGCTTGATAGGGTAGAGGTCTACCTGTTTAGCGACGGTGTGTGCCCAGAAAACCCACCGGCGCTATACCGGAACCGGCCGGCACTATTAAGATTTTTATTTTATTTTATTCAGGGTGTGCCCGCCGGAAACACAGGCACTGCTATATCGGGCACCGGCACCAAACAGGGACCTCTGCCGCATTACGTTTAGCTTCCTTCGTTCGGATAGGTGTAATTGTTGCTTTGCAATGGGCGCGGCGTTGTGGTGTGGTGGTGGTGATATTATGGTCAATGCGCGGGGACGACGCCACCCTCTCTGTAACTATTTAGAACACCCGTCATTCAGGCATGTGTGTTGGTTGTTGTGAACGTCCAACAGCCTAGCCTGTCCTCATTTTGTTTGAGAGTCAGTTATTTAGGCGGATTGACAGCAGGGAGGGTCAATTCTTGTTCTGGTGGTGTTGATGCCACGCCCTTAGTCCACGGTTGTCTTTCGTAGGAGAGAGCACTACACTACTACTGCTAGGAGGAGGAGATGTCAACGCTGCCACGGCTGTTGGTAGTAGTGTCATGCATGTCCGCGTCCGACGGAAACTATTGATTCGTTTCGAGAGTTTCTCCCTAGGTCTCGATCAGATTCTAGCTGGAGAATAGGGGGACAGCTTTCGTGGCAGAACTGAAAGGTTCGAGGATGTACGCATGCACAAGACGTACATGCAGCGCGTGCCAACACATGTCCCCGACTCCTTCCATGCCGTGACCTCAGGATCCTCAACGCACTGCAATTCTGGATCTTGGACAACGTGCTCATGTCGGAGAAGGTCATGCTGGACCCGCGTTCGGGCTCATTCGGAAAGTGAGTTCTTCTTGTTGTCAAGGCATTCAACAAACCGCTCGGATCTTTACCCAGAACCGTGTAACAGGTGTTCTCATCCACCACATTTGAGAAAGAAAGCCAAAAAAGAGCTCCTTGTAGGCTTTTCTCTCCGTTGCCGTGAAAAGAGTTTTTTGTTTTTTTGTCCTTGTTCCTTTCTTGACGGTTTCATGACGGACCGGGAGAATTGTCAGAAAGGATTGGGCAGGCGCGCCGCTGTAACGCCACTGCGAACGCTAGCAAGACCTGCCAGATTACAGTCCAGGCTTGTTGCGAAGATAGATCAGCGGCGGGGCTGCTTTCCGTCCGTTATTTGTCCATACCTGCGCGGTGTGCCTTCGTCTTCCATGCCCACATTTTTTTTTTCCTCGCAGGAATCACGAAGCACAGAATGGGAAGTACAGTGGCAATTCTAAGACCTCCAACCAACGTGTTGATTCTTTTTGGAAAGTAAACATACACAATCAAAGAAACACTACCCGTTCGACATAAGTCCATATATTCTATACAACCACAATTCTTTTGGTCCGGCTGTCTGCAATATGTGACACCCTCGCTCTCGGCGCTGCTGCTGGTGCTGCGCAAGAACGTATGACAGAGACGGATAGGATAGCACATGCCCAGAAAACCGTTTGGAAATGACGCGGTGAGATGGGCTGTGTGGGTGGGAGATGTGAAGGCAAAAGTTCACGGCACCACGCGGCAGTAGAGCAGTAGGCCCTACACGGCGCGAATAATTTCGGGTCGGTCATATGTATTGTCATAGGTGCCGCACGAAAATGCCAGCCGCGAAGCATTATTTGTTGTTTTGGTCATAGACCAAACCCAAGTCTTGCCGGGCAATGAGCGTCGCACAGCTCAACCGCACTAGCAACAAGAAGTTTAAGATATCTGTGCACCACATATATATGTGTATGTCACGTCTTTATGGCGTAGCCAAATCCTGGTTTTGGAAGATGAATGTTGTACAATTAGGCAGCACAGTGTAAAAGTCTCCAGCGAAAATTTATTTGAGCTCTGAAAACACTTGCGTAACCCTACCCGTGACTTCCGTGACACTTGGTACCTGCAACGTACATGACACACCCTTTGGTGGCAAAATCCCGCATGTTTTCTTGCGGAGAATAACACGACGCCTTTCACGCCGAAGACTTGACTTTACCGGTATGAATTCGTTCGATCGATCGGTTTGCTAAAGTAACCCCGCACATGCAACGACGGCTACGACACATGAACGACCGCCACACAGATTCCGCGATGATGGTGACGACGCACTAATGCCGTTGGTACATTACGGCTCAACGAGCAGATACGAACACATGGCGGACACGTCGGACGGCGCCGACAGGGGTAGAGGGGGGGGTGGCAGCGGCAGTCTTGACGCTTCCGGCCAAGACGCGTCGGAGAGGGATGGGTTGAACACGCCGACCGGGCTCCCTGCAGAACCTTCTTGGATGTCGGAGCCGGGGGGAGGGGGGGGACGGGGGGGGGGGGGGATTTTTGGGGGGGGAGAGGGGGTCCCAAAACCAGGGGACCATTGGGGGGGGGGGGGGCCAAAAAAAATTTTTTGTTTTAACCCCAAAAAAAAAAGGCCCCCTTTTTTGGGGGGGGGGGGACCAGGAAAAGGGTTTTTTTTTTTTTAGGGAAGGGGGGGGGCCCCCTTTCTTTTTTTTAAAATTCCCCCGGGGCGGGGGGAAAAAGGGGAAAAAATTTTTTTCCCCCTTTTCCCCCTAAAAAAAAAAAATTTTTTAATTTTTTTTTTTTTTAAAAT